CTTTTAAATTTAGCTTTTCATTGTACTTCGGTACACGTGACAAGAAATCAATCAATCAATCATTAATAGAGGAATATCAGCAGAACATTATTAGCACAAATGGGAATCATCACAAAACTAAAGCTTTGCAATAAAAAATACTGAAGTCAGTAAATATTTCTGCTGATGGGAATTAATTTTTATTCACTTGTGATGGGAGTTTCATGTGATGGACCAACATGTACTGCCTGTCCCTGGTTAGCCTCAAGGGGGCGGTGATGAGCAGCCTCCTTGGTTTGCGAGTTGTTGTAGGCAGCCCTACCATGCTGTTAGGGAGGGTGGTGTAGAATTTTCACCCAGCGATCTGTAGAAACGGAGATGTAAATTCAAGTTAGGATGGTGAGTGGCTTGAAGGGGAACTTGCAGGTGGCAGTGTTCCCATGTATCTGCTACCTGTGTCCTTTGTGATGGACGTGGTCGTAGGTTTGGAAGGTGCTACCTTGGAGCCTTAGTGAATTTCTGCTGTGCATCTTATAGATTGTACGCACTGTGTATTGACGTCGGTGGTGGAAGGAGTGGGATGCTTGTGGATGTGGTGCCAATCAAGCGAACTGCTTTGTCCTGGATGGTGTCAAGCTTCTTGAGTGTTGTTGGGGCTGCACCCATCCAGGCAAGTGGGGAGTATTCCATCACACTCCTGACTTGTGCCTTGGAGGTGGTGGGACAGGCTTTGGGGAGTCACAGAGTGAGTTACTCGCCGCAGATTTCCCAGCTTCTTACCTGCTCTTGTGGCCACTGTGTTTATTCAATGGTAACCCCCAGGATGTTGAAAGTAGGGACTTGGCGATGGTAATGTCATCAGGCAAAAAGGGGAGATGGTTAGATTCTGTCTTGCTGTGGATAGCCATAGCCTGGCATTTGTGCGGCTTGGATGTTACTTGCCACTTGTCAGCCCAAACCTGGATATTGTCCAGGTCTGGCTGCATTTGAATATAGACTGCTTCAGTATCTGAGGAGTTGCGAATGGTGCTGAACATTGTACAATCATCGACAAACGTCCCCACTTCTGACCTCGTAGTGGAGACAAGGTCATTGATGAAGCAGCTGAAGCTGGTTTGATCTGGGAATGAGTGGTTCAGAGGTGATAACCCATGTGGAAAAGATTCAAATCCCACCGGAATTTATCAATTCGACTATAACGTTGAAATGGTTCAAAGTGCTTCACACAATGAACGAAAATGGATTAGAAATTGTCTTATAGTGTGGTAAGGCTGTACTGACGGAACGTACAATGAATGGTACTGTACAGTATCTCATGAACAGTTTTGGACTTCCTGATTCAGGAAACAGGTAAAACCAATGGAGAAAGTATTATACAGATTCACTTGGACAGGGCCTCACAAAGGTGGAGTCACAGGTAGGCAGGATAGCGAAGACGATGTTTGATATGCTTGCCTTCATTGGTCAGTTAATTGAGTATCGCAGTTAGGGGGTCATGTTGCAGCTGTACAGGACATTGGTGAGGCCACTTTTAAACTACTGCGTGCAATTCTGGTCTCCCTGCTGTAGGAAGGATGTTGTGAAACTTGAAAAGGTTCAGAATAGATCTACGAGGATATTATCAAGGTTGGAGGGTTTAAGCTATAGGGAGAGGCTGAATAAGCTGGGACTTTATTCACTGGAGCATAGGAAGTTGAGCGGTGACCTTATAGAAGTTTATAAAATCATGAAGGGCATGGATAGGGTGAATAGCCAATGTCTTTTCTCCAGGGTGGGGGAGTCTAAAACTTGAGGGCATAGGTTTAAGCTGAGAGGGGAAAGATTTAAAAGGTATCTGAGGGGCAACTTTTCCACACAGAGGGTGCTGTGTGTATGGAATGAGCTGCCAGAGGAAGTGGTGGAGGCTGGTACAATTACAACATTTAAAAGGCATCTGTATGGGTATATGAATAGGAAGGGTTTAGAGGGATATGGGCCAAATGCTGGCAAATGGGACTAGATTAATTTAGGATATCTGGTTGGTATGGATGAGTTGGACTGAAGAGTCTGTTTCCATGCTGTACAGTTCTATGACTCTGTTTGAGGCTTGAAAATGATCATGACCCCTCAGTGAGAAGTGTAAAGCCGTTGCGATTCAGTTAGAGCTTGAGAGCGGCCGTTGCTGCCAACTCCCCTCAGGGTCCTGACCCCCACTTTGGGAAGCCCTACATTAAAATGTTAGCCAAGTAGAAGAGCTTTAAAAAAATCTTCCGAAGAGGGTAGGTCCTTTCAGGTTAAGCATAATCTTACAGGGATGTTCAAGTTGATAAAAAAAGGTACAATAAATTACACAGTTTTCATGAGTTGATGAAGCAGGCAGAAACGTAAAATTAATTATAAAGAAGTTAGCAGTTGGATTCAGAAAAAGAATGCTTTGAGATTTGTTTAAATTTGCTGAGGAAATGAGCTGACATTTCTCAGAACATGTTAGCGCACACACACTCCAGGAACCAGAGCGTTGCAATTGAGGGGCTTGGGGGACTGAACCTGAGAGATGTTGACCACCAGCCAAAACATAAAATCAGGTTGAAAATACTCATTGCCAATGGAGCGAGACCATTAACAGGAGAAATCCTACTGCCTGCGGGTCAGTCTACATCAGATCAGACCCAGCCTGGCCAACTGGAAGATACCTGCATGCTTTGCATCACTCTATGTTTTCAGGTTTAATTTTTGCTTTGGCAACAAAGCTGTTGAACGTGGGTGAAATTGTGTCTGTTCTGATTGTCAATCTCAGAGTTTACAGGTCAGAGGGAAATGTTTACAAAGGGAATGGTTATACTGCAGCATCGTCTGCCACAGTTTGGAGCAAAGTTCACAAATTTTCTGTGAAATCAAGTTGGATAGTTGTTGGATGTGAAGAGTATATAATGGGAACCAAGAGGAGTTGGGGGTTTAGAAGAGATGACCAATGAAGAGACGCCCCTTTCTGTGCCGTGTGATGTCATGATTTTCGAAATGGCACTGAGGCTCACGTTGTACCTTCGTCAGCCTTTGATGATGTGGAGGGCAGACAATTTCAGGAACTGAGTGTCCATAAACACCTCCCAAGATTTGTTTCAAAATGACGAGTTACATAATCTGCAGTATATGACCTGCTATATCCTGCTGTAATAGCATCCGAAATAAATGCACAAAGCAGCTGCCTCACAATATGAAGCACAGCAGGTATCACATTTCCCAGGCCAACATCTCTCAGCAAGCAAAATGCAGGCCACACATTCATGGGGGGATCTCCGCACGGCACACGAGACACATAATGCAGGGGCAAAATGAAACACATGGATCCAGCCTTTTTCACAGATATTGGAAATTGCAAATGGTTTGCAGTCAGCAGCTTACAGCATACTCTCTGTAGACCACAGCAAACGGCAGAACATACCATCCAATTCATCCCACACCAATAGCATGCAGTATTCAACATTGTATGGAATATAGCATCCAACAAGTCTCCACAGCATTCAGTGTCTTTGTAACCTGCAAATCAAAGCCTTGACATACAGCCATTACATTCAGCATGCAGTATATACCACGCTGCACAGCATTCACTGTACATCACAGAGGATATGATTCATGTTGGACAGCCTGTGTGCCATATGCAGGCAGTAAATGTAGCACAGCAGCTACTTTCTGCAGCGGTCTCAGTTTAATTAGAGTTCCCACACAGCCTTTTCTCAAATGGACACCTAGAGGGACTTCCAGCTTAAACTTAGTTTCTCACTTTTGAAACATTGAAGGATCTCATTGAATAATTTTCTGATGAAGGGTCTAAGCCCAAAATGTCAGCCTTCCTGCTCCTATGATGCTGCTTGGCCTGCTGTATTCATCCAGCTCTACACCTTATTATCTCAGATTTTCTGCAGTTCCTACTATCTCTCATTGAATAATGACTGCTTTAGTTATACCCAAGAGACCTGTTAGTTGTATCAGCTTGGCAGAAGGTGCCCACAATTTTAAACATGGATCGATTCTGCCCTGGGACTAGGATTTATCAACATTGATCAGAAAGTCAGTGCAAAAATCACAGAGTCCCTAGATTTCCAATGTATTTCAGCACTGTTGAATGTGTCATTCCCTTAAAAAAGGCTTGTCAGCAATCCCAGCACCACTGTTAATGCTAATATTAGGCCAGTGGAA